TATTAGTAAATAATAATTTTTACTGAAATTTGAAATTTTAATCTTTTATTATTAAGGAATATATTCATTCGCCCAATAAAAATTGTACGAAACATGTTGACTAATTATAATCATGGTCCGAACCTAACCTTATACAGGAATATTCGATTGCAAAATGGAACAGTGGTGGTTTTTTTTCTCCAGAAAATTTCAAATATTCAACGAGCTCTTGGGAATAGGAATGGTGTAAGTCAATTTCAACTGATTAATATTTAAAGTACGTTATCTGATTGAAGGTAGAATATTAAAATAAATTGGATTCTTACTTGTTTTAATATTTCACTATTTTTCCTGTCAGCCATCTTAGTTTTACACAAACAAACTGTTTTAAACATAATACTCTTAATGTCTTGCGAAACAAATGAATTTTTATTCTATTTTTATGTATTTTAAGAATTTTCATTTAAAAGTTTAATTCAATTTTCCCTCTGTTACCGTGACAAAAATATTAGTACACTATACATCGTTGAAAAGAATTCTAAAAATGACGAAGTATCCAAGATGTTCGTTTTATCGGATCTTTGTGAAATTTTGTATTTAATGTTTTATTAATACCTCGTCTTATCACGAGAGAATGTTTACGTTACCCGCATACTGAAAGCTTTAGCGTTGTGTATATTTTATAAAACAAACTAGCTGGTAGAATATTTTATTTCTGCCCCGTTAACGTCGTAAAATATCTTTGAAACAAAATGCTTTTTCTCCGGAAAGTCGTATTTGTCTCTTGCATGAATTCAAATTGAAAGCTTATCATAGCGAAGAAATGTTATAGTCGAATTTTACGAACCGAAAATTCATGGAAAAAGAAACCGAAATGGTAATGGAAAAAAATTCTGCTTCACGATAACGCAAACAACGTAGGGAAAATTGGAATTTAAAGTATTAGAATCATTCACCATTCAAGATCGATTACTTACAGAATATTTATTTGATTTAAGAAATAAAAGAATAATTTTTGAAGAAAGATTAATTTATTTGAAGAAAATAATGTGGAAGACAATGGTTTCAATTTATAATAATAATACAATCTATGCAGAAAAACATTTTCCTCCTTCAGAAAACATCGAATATTTGTACAGATATACTTACATACAAGACGTCATATAAAATCTCTACGAAAATAGAAAACTGTTACAGACAATAATACATAGTCGATACAAGTATAAACACGTTTTCCAGAAACAAATCAATCATCAAATAATCTTACGGAAATCTGAACTAATGTCACAGAAGAAATCATAAAAGTTTCAAACACGCTAAAAGATTCAATAAACAGCCATACCGAATACACAAATCAACACGAGTACAAGTTTTGCACAGAAAAAAAAAACGAACATAAAAACTTATAAGAAATTGCTACAAACTACGATACCAAATGCATAATTCAATGCAGAGACGAACTTTCCGAAAACTGTCTTTCAACAGAATTCACACAGAGAATAACATAACCTCAAACCGCACTATTCCTTCCAAGGAGGAAAAAAGCACCTCAAAAGAAACTTTTCTTCCACGCGAAACACACCGAACGATTCATCATTCAACCGTGTCAGAGGCGAAAAAGCAGCGAAACACGGTGTCGAAAAAAACACTATTCGAATACGAACGTTTCACTTTTCCAAGCACGACAAGATCCAGGCGAATCCCCACAATTCATCGCGATCCAATATTTACACGCGGCGTGATTTATTCGGCGCTCGTGTCGCTACCGACTGAGAAAAGCGCGATATTTATGAGAGAGAGAGGCAACATCTTCGACTGGCTGAAAACTCTGCTGCCGCCATTAATTCCGGGATGCATCACTGCGAAAAATTCATGTGGACAATGCGGAACATCCCCCGTCGACTCGCGATTTGAATTTTAGAAGACGTCCCCGAGTTTAGCGGGAAAATTGGTCGTGGATAAAAACCGGTAGTGGAAGCCATTACGGATGTGAGGTTATATCCGTGCCAACATTCTGTTATTCTTGCTGTCTCCTTCTTTTTAAGATAAAAGACGCGGTCATATTTACGTGAAAGTTGAATTGTGTCAACTATATCCTGTGTTTATTCTTATTCTTAATCTCTTAATTAAAGAAGACAAATTGACTGGTTAATCGAACGTAATAATTAACTATTTTTAATTACATCCTTATATCCGTGTTAAACGTGAGATATGACGTCATCCTGTGTGTAATGTATGTTTGTAATCGCATTTGCAAGAACAAAACGAAGTAACCGATTTAAGTTTTTACCGATTTTTAATGACATACTTGAGAAACTCTATTTCTGACTCAATTATCAAGTTAATTTATTTCAACAAGAAATTCATTTTTATGCTTGAATTTAGTTCACGTTATAGTGGATTTCCATGTAAAAGGAATTATAGCTCCTCTCATTGTGACATTCTTGTTCTTTTCTGTTTCTCTCTCCCTTTTTCTGTTTCCCTCTTTTTTTATCTACTTTTGTTTCTCTCCTTTTCGTTCGTTGGAGTTATTATTGGCATGTATAAAGGGTTTCACTTTACTATTATAACAAGGTCCGTGAGGCTTTAAGTTGACGATACAGTAGCTCGACTTACGGTTTAAATTTTCTTCTTGTCGAGTGTCATGTTGCGTTTGATTTCCAGGACGTTCGCTGCCGGTGCTGTGCGTCCATCTTTTTCACTGGTACGGTCTTCTGCAACACTTCAACCTGGACGTGGCATCGGTGTGGAAATTATTCGGTAAGAATTATGAAAAAAACGACGCGAATGATTTTGAAAAATTTATTTGTATAGAATAACTTTTCCTTAAAAAAACCGCTAATAAAAATATTTTAAAATGAATTAAATGATTTATATGACTTGAAATATTCAAATCGTTTAAATTATTTGAAAATATTTTCGGATATTAAACAACGTTTTAAGGAAAATATTTCATAATTTTTTTTAGCAATATTTTACAGCAAATGTTTTCTGTAAAACGATAATCAGGGAGAACAGTATTAACAAGAGGAGCATTCTGATAGACGGATATTACATTGTTTCAGTGATTTTGATTGCCATTGATTGTAGGCGAATTAATGTGTTCCGCGTTTTGTATTCTAGTGTAAAGTATAATTTCCGCTTGGTAAATGAGGATGTTCGTAGCATAATATTGGAGTAAAATGGCAGAAATGATGATTCAGTACCGCGATATAATATTTATAGAGCTGTTTTTCCAAAGTTTCTTTTTAATTCGAAATATTTCAACATCTATAAAAAACAGAATTATCATACATCAGCACATTACTAAAAAAGCTTTCATAGACTTGCATACTTTCCTGTCTTTTTCAATAAAATATTTCTCCCTTAAGGAAGGTAGGAAAGAAGATATTTAGGTAAAACAAAAAATTACATTTGAAGAAAATCAACCCTCGCCGTATAACGAGTCAGTACAAAACAATTATGTCTGTAACAAAAATGAATTTTAATTCCAATTTTGGATTTAATTTATAAAACTGAAAATTACCAAATTTAATTAATGTATAATTAGCTTTTCTTACTTAATATTACTAATATTACTAAAATAGAAAATGGCTGACGCTTAGATGCATAGTCAGGAAAGGAAATCATACGTGAAGGGGTTAATGTAAGCAAAACGTGTTAGAAAACCGTGTAAAAGTTAATCGTGTTCGAAATTCTACAGTATACGAGCCACAACAGAAACCAAAATGATTCACTCCACTTTTTGATATTCTTCTAATTTTAGTATCAAAGCTTAATTCTTCGTAAATAAAAAAAAACTTAACAAATCCAATTTCCTGGAGTAAGTCAAAAATACACTACATCATATGTGCTTCTCTG